CTAACAATAGGTAGTGTGTAATGGCAGGTTACGTGATAACAAGACCTGATGGGTGGAGTATGGGGTTAGGACATATAGTTTAGGACATAGATATTGAGTGCATACGGCTGCCGGGTCTCCAAGCGGAAAATAAGGCGTTGTTCTTCCAGTTCATGCTGAGCTTCTCTGGAACACTGTAGCAAGCCTGGAACAGAGATGTTGGTCAGGGAACAGGGTGGTGTTAAAGTGGCAGGTAACAGGTAGCTCAGTCTTTGTTGCGAGCAGAACGTAGATGTTCTGCGAAGCGATCAGCCAGACTACGCTTCATTTCCTCAGTGTACAGGAGACCATATTATGAGCAGCGAATGCAGTAGACTAGATTCTAGGAGGTGCAGGTGAAGTGTTGCTTCACCTGGAAGGTATGTTTGGGCCCTTGGATACTAGGAAAGGAGGAAGTAAATGGGCAGGTTTTGCACCTTTGCCAGTTGCATGGGAAGGTGCCGTAGGGCTATGGCGGGGTGTTGGGGATGAAGGAAGAGTGGACCTGGGTGTCCTGGAGGGGAAGGTCTGTGGAAGGCAGACAGGGGAGGGGAGGAGAATATGTGCCTGGAGGTGGCAGAAATGGTGCTTGATCTTCTGGATGTGGATGCTGGTTGGATGGTAGGTAAGGACAAGGGGAACTCTATCGTTGTTGTGGGAGGGAAGAGAGGGGGCGAGGGCGGAAGTGTGGGAGATGGGTCGGACCCGGTTGAGGGCCCTGTTGACAACGGTGCCAGGGAATCCTTGGTTGAGGAAGAAGGTGGACATTTCAGAGGCTCCTTTGTCGAAGTTGGCCTCATCTGGACATATGCAACGGAGACGGAGTGACTGAGAGAATGGGATGGAGTCTTTACAGGAAGCAGCCTATGAGGATGTATAGTCCAGGTAACTGTGGGCGTCAGTGGGTTTATAGTGGATATTAGTGGCCAGTCTAGCCCCAGAAATGGAAACAGAGATGTCAAGGAAGGGAAGGGAGGAGTCAGAGATAGACCAGGTGAAAGTGAGGGCAGGTAGAAATTGGAAGCGAAATCGATGAACTTTTCTAATTCCAGATGAGAGAGGGAAGCAGCACCGATGATATCACTGATATATTGGAGAAAGAGTTGTGGGTGGGGGCCAGAATAGGACTGGAAAAAGGAATGTTCCACGTACCCCATGAAGAGACAGGCATAACTCGGGTCCTTGCGGGTACCCATGGCCACCCTCTTACCTGAAGAAAATGAGAGGAGTTAAAAGAGAAGTTGTTGAGGGTGAGGACAAGCTCAACCAAGCAGAGGAGAGTGGTGGTTGGTGGGGACGGTTCAGGCCTTTGCTCCAGGAAGAAGCAGAAAGTTCTGAGACCATCTGGTGGGGAATGGATGTGTAAAGGGACTGCACAGCCATGGTAAAGAGGAGGCGGCTGGAACCTTCAAACTGGAAGTTTTGAAACCGGCGTAAAGCATTAGAGAACTCACAGATATACGTCGACGGGGCTTGGACCGGGGAGAGAAGACTGAGTCAAGGTAGGAAGAGATGAATTCTGTGGGGCAGGAGTGGGCTGAAGCAATGGGTGTGCCCAGACACTCCTGTTTGTGGATTTTTGGAAAGTGGTAGAAGCGAGCTGTGCGGGCTGGGGGACTATCAGCTTGGAAGCAGTGGGGGGATGTCACCAGATGAAATGAGATCCGTTACCGTAGTTGATACAATGGCATGATGTGTCCTGGTATGGTGATGGTCCAGGGGAAGATAGGAGGAGGTATCTGAGAGCTGGCGCTCAGCCTCTGCATTGTAGAGGTCAGTACACCAGACTACAACAGCACCATCCTTATCAGCACGCGTAATAACAAAGTCAGGGTTAGAACAGAGTGCAGTCAGTTTGGAGGGAGATATGTTAGATTTGGTGTCGGGGTGGGGCAGAGAAATTGAGGCAATCAATATCACATCGACAGTTCTGAATGAACAGACCAAGTGCAGGTAAGAGGAGGGGTCCAGGTGGAGGGAGAGTGTTGGAACTGTGTGAAGGAGTCTGTGGGACGGGGAGAAGACTCTTGCCCAAAGAAATGGGAACGGAGACGAAGACAGCAGAAGAAGAGTTTGATGTCATGTCGTGCCTGAAATTCATTAAGGGAGTGACGCAGCAGAATAAGGCTAAGGCCTTTGCTGAGTGTAGTTGTGTTTCTCCACTGACTAACCCTCTCTGGTAAATATTTGATTTTAGTATCCACTTTTGGTAATTGTTCTTTGGGGCTGATTGCCTTGTCATCATCAGACTATCAGCTTCATAGTTTGATCATCAGAACTGGTCAGCCCTTCAACTGACAAGCCAGCAATCACAACAATCTTTGATCCACATGTCTAGGCAACAAATGGTCATGAGAGAGACATAGAACCAACCTCCCTATCGCTGTATTCACAACATAGAAAAAGTAAAGCATTCCATAACTCTCAATAACCAGACTGAGAATAACTCATACCAGACACCAAGTGTGATAAAATGAACAATTTGTGAATAATACAGTACCTTTATCTCATTCTATAACTTTGCTCTGCTAATCTGATGCCTATGTTTTCAACCCAATCTTCATTGATTCTAGTATCCACTCTCATGTAGACCGACACAGTTAAGGAATAAATCAGAAAAAAAATTAAAGCAAATATAACTGGCCTGTTCAATAAGCAGTTTTCCTGATCCATAATATCATGGGCACATGGGATTGTATCTTGCTTGATTTCTGAAGATATCGGTCAATGCAAAAGCTTCCAGTAGGCTCAGAGGAATATTCATTTATTTCTGACAACTGAAATTCTATTCTCCAAACTTTCAATAAATTGATAGTAGGAGAACAACCAGGGAGCAAACAAATCGCCACCTTGTAGCTATGGTGGCCACGATCTTTCTGATAATAAAAATATAATTGTTAGACTGAATGACACCTGTTAACATTGAACATTACGCCTCTCTGAAGTCAACGTTTATACGGTACTTTGAACAAAAATCAACTGGTAATTAACCTCCAGACCTGGCTTTGTAAACAAGCATCAGTTTGTTTGCTCCCTTTTTTTTTTGAAAGAGCAAGCTGTTGCTCACAGTCCAAAAGTCACCTTCAGCTCTCAGTTCCAAAATAAAAATAACAATAAAAATAAATTGAGATCCCAATAGAGACACCTGGTTCCTCACTACTTGCTTTAACACGGAGTCTGAAAATTTGTAGTCCAGATCCAGTAACCTTGAAGAGTGTACCTGAAATCTCTGGTGCCTATGTTGCACAATTACTGATTTTTCATCCTGTACCAATAAACCTTCCACAGCATCTCCACTCTTCTTAAGCCCCTTTCTTTTACAATAAATCATGTCCCCTTTTTTTGAAACTGGTTTGCTGAATTCCTTCTAATATTTCAGCTTTAAAGAGAGCCTTTCTGCCTCAGATATTGTGTTCAAATGCTCTGAAAGAATAGAGCCAATTGTAGTCACTTAGCAAACTGGAGCCTGATCGTTTATCACTGACGGAACTTAAGATCTCTCAGATCTTGGTAGAACCCCTATCCTTTCTCTTTCTTGCTGTTGCTCTCACACGTCATTGGTACTGAACCACCTCCCCTCCCCACCACCCCAGCACCCCACCGCCCCCCCTCCCCCCACCACTAGTTCCACATTCTGCCTGGGATCTATGTTAGTCACAACAGCTTTTCACTGGATGCTCCATCTGTGCCCATGAATTGATTGATTGTGACTATTTTTAAAAAGTACTATTTCCTTGTAACGATTTTAATATTTTACCATTCCAAAACTTGGAACTGGTCGAACTTTTAAATTCCTTCATTTTGTTCCAACCCTTTTTACTCTGTCAATCTAGGCATCATTTTAGCCAGTGTATTCACACACCTTTGGCATGCATCCACTGTCTGATACTGCACAATTCTACCACCAACTTATTCGTCATAAATGATTCAGACTTGAATGTAGGGGTTGATCACTAAGTTCATAGATGATGTGAAGATTGTTTGGGTGGTAAAACATGAGAAAGATTACAAGAGGATACAAATACGCTGGTCAAATGGGCTGATCAGTGGCAAATGGGATTTAATCCAGATAAGAGTGAGGTGATGTATCGGGCATGACAAATGAGACAAATGATCTGGACTACAAATTTGCAGACTCAGTGTTAAAGAAAGTAGTGAGGAACCAGGTATCTCTATTGGGATCTCAATTTATTTTTATTGTTATTTTTATTTTGGAACTGAGAGCTGAAGGTGACTTTTGGACTGTGAGCAACAGCTTGCTGAATGCTAAGACTCCGGGGAGCACTGAAGATCAGAGGGACCTTGGTATGCATATTCACTGGCCCCTTAAGGTAGCAGGACAGGAAGTTAATGTGATAAAGAAATCACATGGGATACTCTCCTCTAAAAGCTGAGACATCAAGTTTAAAAGCAGGGAGATGATGCTGGAACTTTATAAAATATTAATTAGGTAACATATTGTGGAATCCACTTTACGGGAGGGTGCCTTAGCACCTGGAAGAGGTGCAGGGGAGATTTACCAGGATGTTGCCTAGGCTGGAGAATATAAGAGAGATTGGACAGATTGGGGTGATTTTCCTTGGAGCAGAGCGTGCTGAGTGGGTCACGGTTGAGATGTTCATGGTTGAGAGATATAAAATAATGTGGGTGCGAATCCAGGTCTTCTGGTCCAGAGGTAGGGACACTACCACTGCATCATGAGTCCCTCCCTCCACATTTTCACACCTCTGAATAAAGATGCCATCTAAATTCCATACTACTGAATTCAGTAATTATTGTGTTTATATTCATGGCAGTATGTTTGGTTTTCAATTGACAAGCAAGTTGATGCAACGTAGCCACATGAATGGATTCTGTTTCATTGTGTGAGCATTAATGGGCGTCCAAATGATATTTGACTTGGAACTATTACGTACCTCAGCATGTGAATGCACTTCTGGTTCTGCTGCCCCAACATCAGAGCTCTGATTGATTTGTTGCAGGGTGGCTGTACCCAGGAAGGACATTGCAGAATTTAACACCGAGATGGCCTCAAAATATGATGCAGCAATGAAAGAAGGTGAAAAGAATTTTACTTTATTATGCTAAACTAATAGGCAAAATACTAGTTGATGTTGTTTCGGTTGTTCTGATGTAGAAAATCAGTGTGTTAAAACTTAGTGAAAACACAGGTAATTTGCAAATAATCCTAGAATTGTGATGGGAAATGGCTACAGGAACGTGGTAACAGATGTAGGCCATTCAGTTATTCCAGTCAGTTTGCTATTCAATGAGATCACGGTTGGTCTGTATCTTAACTCCCATCTGATCTCATTGACTCTGAATGTTACACGCTGTCCATATTGATTTTTAATGAATTTTACTGAAGCACTTTGGGAGAGAGATTGCACCTGTTCCTCGGTGATGTGTGTTTCAACACTACAATATGTGCTGACATGAATATAGCTGTCTATATTTCTCCATCAACCTTAAACTTAGTGAGCCCTGGGTCCTGAATTACTCTTGCCTTTATTACAATTGCAATTAATAGTTTTTCATAGAATGATACAGTATGGTAGGTCATCCCTCTGTCTTTTGGATGAAATGTCAAACTAAGGACCCATCTGCTGCCTCATGTGTATATAAAAGATCCCATGGAACTATTTTGAATGAGAATGGAAGAGTTATCCCTCATTTGACATGTCAAAAGAATTACAGTGCTATTTGTAGGAGTTTTCCAGGTGCAAACTATCTGGCATGTTTCTTATATTAAGGCAGCACCTCCACTTTTAAAAGAACGTTATGGCTTCACAACGTTTTGAGCCATTCAGTAGTCATGACAAGCACAGAGCAAATGCATGTCTTTCTTCCATTCAGACCATCATGCTTCTGTCAACTTTTTGAAAGAGCTATCCAATTAATCCCGTTTTCTCTGCCCTTTTCCCTGTGAATGTTGATTCATTTCTGCTTGGCAATTATTATTGAATCATCTTCCACCAGTCCTTTCAGACTGTACATGCTGGATCAAATGTTTAATTTTCTACCCTGATAGGCAGTGCTGATACTGAGTGAGCAACAATTACTATTGCATTCTCCTGCACTGACCAAAATATGCACAAAGCTCATCCAAATGTGAGATAACACCTTAGTGAGTGTTTAGACTATTTGTGATTTTGTTTTCCCTTCTTGCCTGTGCCCCCACTTAAGTAGTTCCTTTTGACTATAGCTGATTGACATAACAAATTGTTTTAAAGTGTGACCAGAAGTAAAAGATATCTTTTGGGTTGGGATTTTCAGCTTTGGATCAAGCTTTAGAGTTCTTGAAGAGTGGTGCTATCCCCAATAATTGGAAGACGGAGCTGAAAGATGAGAGCTCAAGTAGTGATGAAGAGGGACGTGAAGAAGAAAGCAGTGAGGAGGAGGTGAGGATTTGACTTCGAGCTTGAAGACTGAGTGGTTTGCTAACTGTTAGTAAATTGTTTTCTCGTTTATTCATCAATTAATCAGTTAATCCTTTCAGCATTTTGGATCCAATTTACCCAGGTTCATTTGACACCCCAAACCATTGTGTGAGTGCTAGGCTCTCAGTGACCTCCATCGCAGCTGTCAGCCATGAATATAGTAACACATTGCATGCTACAGCATAGACACAAGCCAGGAGAGTACAGCAAACAATGCTAGTCAAAAGTTTTATCTGAAAGGAACTAGTAACACAGCCATAACCAGGAGTGGGGAGAAAGGGAACACTTCTATAATTGGGAGAGGTTGTGGGGAATACACTGAAATTGTTAGCGTTTTACCATGCCTTGCTTTTATAGGAACATATGAACAGGAATAAATCATTCCGCGCCTTGAGCCTGTTCTGCCATTTGATGATATCATGTCTGATCTGTCATCTGACTTTATATACCTGCCTTTGGCCAATAATCCTTAATACCATTGTTTAACAAAACGTGTCTATCTCAAATTTAAAACTGACAACTGATCCAGCGTCCATTGCCATTCATTGAGGGGAGTTCCAAACATATGCCACCCTTTGTATGTAGAAGTACTTCCTAACATTGCTCTTGTATGGTCTGGCCTTTATTCTCACACTATGCCTCCTAGTTCTAGAATTCCCCAACCACAGGAAATAGTTTATCTTGATTTATCCTGTCTTTTTCTGCTAATATCTTGAAAACTTCAATCAGATTGTCCCTTAGCCTTCTGAATTCTAGAGAAAACAGGTCATATTTGGATAATCTGTCCTCGTAACTTAACCCCTGAAGTCCAGGTATTATTCCTGTAAACCTACTTTGTCCTCCCCTCCAAGGCCAATATATCCTCCTTAAGGTTTGGTGCCCAGATCTGCTATCAATACAAGTGGGCTCTAGCAAGGGTTTTGTGTAACTGCAGCACAATTTCTGCATCCTTGTATGCTGGTCCTCTTGATATAAAGGCCAGCATTCCATTAGCTTTCTTGACTATTTTCTGCACCTGTTAGTGAAATTTTTTTAAAGATCTATGCACATGGAAATCGACTGTATTTAACATCATACCATCAAGAAATTACCCTGATCTATCCATTTTTGGTCCAAAATGGATAACCTCACATTTGCTAACATTGAACTCTATCTGCCACAGTTTTGCCCATTTGCTTAGTCTATCATCATACCTTTTATGCTATCATCTACACTGCCTTTAATGCCATCTAACTTTGTCATTAGCAGATTTGGATATATGACTTTTTATGCCATTCTCCAAGTTGTTAATAAATAAAGTGAATAATGTAGGCATCTATTCAGATCCATCATGTTTCATTCCTTGTCTTTCAATTAACTGGAAATTGTAGACACAGAGCAAATTTGTAAGTAATGAGAGTGGATTTGAAATTTCACTGCATTTTTTAATACAATTATATGCTTCAGTGCCTGGGAATAAGGTCAGTCCTCCTGTGTCCTCTGCCAACTCTGTTCTCCTGATATCACATACTTGACAGATATTGATACTTTTCAAAATATTATGTTTTGATAAACTGTAAAAATCGCCTTCAATTGAGAAAATTAAAAACAATTTTCCAAAATTTTGCAGAAAAAAAATTACTTATGAATTCATTAAGGCAGATAACTAAAAGAAAAAGAAAAATGTTTGAATGAGTTACTTAAAGATAATCATTGGAGAGGGGCAGGAAGGTTGAGGAAATTTCAGAGCTTAAAAAGCAAAGTCACAACTGCCAATGGTGAAGCAATTAATATCAGGATGATGAGGACAGAATTGGAGGAATACAGAGTTCTCATACATTTGTGAGAGAGGAGGAGATTACAGAAACTGGGAGGGGTGAGGTTATCAAGACATTTGAAAACATGTTTGAGTATTTAAAATTGAGGTGTTGTCAGAGTGTGAACTAACACTGGGAGCCAGAAGCCAAAGTATCGAGATGAACAGGTGGTGTATCTTTCGTGGAATGGCACTCCCTAGAAGGAAGAGTGCTCATAATTGCATTTTGTGTGCTGGTGGCCTATAGCTCTGAACGACATCTCAGTACATTGTAGTGACTTTAATCACATGACCTGTTTGGCCATGTTATAACACATTTGGGACAAGTGAGACTTGAACCCAGACCTTTTGACCCAGGAGTTGATGGGGGTGCTACCACTATGTCACAAGAGTTTTCACACTGTCCACTTCTATTAAACCATGCATATCCTTTATTGTCTGAATCCACCTGTCTTCTCAAAACCCTTCTGATTGAAACATTCCAGATACTTCATCCACGTTCATCAGCTGGTGGACATTCTTCCTTCACAATTCTGTGAACATGCTCCTGTGAAGACCCATGGTTTGAGATTCAGGTCAAACGATTTGCTATTAGCACAAGTGCATGATCATTGATGCATTTTTCTGTTTCCTGCACTGGATGCAAAGTATTCCAGTTATAAATTGAAATACCAGGAAGTAAATTTGATCCACATGCAGCATCCTTGAGAAGCAGAACAGTCATAATCTTTGTTCTTCTCAGTTTATTTTTTTAACTTGAGCTGGTGACTAGAAGGCTGAGTAAGTTTACTTAGGCCAACAGCTAATTCAAATCAAATGACCAGGGACCTGGAAACAGGTCCGTGCATTCTATTAATGTCTTACTTTTATACCTATTATTCAGATCAATTTCTCTCCAACTTCCCTTTATTTTCAAATGTCTTAAGAACATAAGGAACAGTTCCAGCTGTGTTTTTCTCCCTTTTAGTGTTAGTTGAGATTTTGCATTGGTAATAGTTGAGGCAAGCACAGAAATCCAGAATTTGCTTACAGTGAGCTCAGTATCTTCCATACTGTGTGGTGCTGAGGTTCCCACAGACTACTATGTGATTGGGAAGAGCCTCCTCACTCATGGCAATGATTATGACTGCTAAAACTTTGTAAAATAATACATCTTAATGAATTAGGTATAATTATTTTGAAATGGTGGAACAAGTTCACAGTTAGTTATAAATCACTGGACTGTTAATCCAGAGAGCCAGATAATGTTCCAGGCATCCGAATTCAAATCGGCCATGGCAGATGGTGGAATTTGAATTCAACAAATATCTGGAATTCAGACTCAAATGATGACCATGAATCCATTGCCGATTGTTGGGGAAAATCCAACTGGTTCACTAATGTCCTTTAGGGAAGGAAACTGCCATCCTTACCTGTTCTGGCCTACACCTGGTCTAGACCCACAGCAATGTTGTTGACTCTTGACTTCACTCTGGGCGATTAGGGATGGGCAATAAATGCTGCCTGGCCAGCGACGCCCTCATCCTGTGAATGAATAAAGAAGAAAAATAAGATGCTATTTTACTGACCCCTATGGAGCTAATTTCATATTTGTGGAATTTCAAATCTCTCTATAATGACTTAATAAATCAACATCTTTAAAGATGTTTATTTATTTTTGTCTTAGTTTCTATCTTTTCACTGTCTGAAAATTTAAATTAAACATGATGGATTTCACATGTCTTTAACTTCCTGGTTTGCTATGTTTGAATATTTCAATTTGATTGCCTATCTGCCTGCTGACATCATCGCTGCTGTACAATAGATTCACATCTGGTTTAGTGCAAGGTTTTATCTGCCTTCAGGAAAAGGGGAAATCCCTGCAGAAAACTTTGTGGGCAACTTTCTTCAAGGTTAGCGTTGAATGTCCTTGTTTCACCAGTGACCACAATATCAAGGCCAACGTTCACATATCTTTTATGTACTGTTTTCTTGATTCATTTTCATTTGGCTTCTTTTAATGTAATCTTTTGAGAACTTGAGTAGCAACTAAATCTGTAATTTTGACTGTCAGAAAGACAGTGCCCATGGTGCCTCTGTATAAGCCAGCTTTTGTTTCTGTCTGTGGTTTCAGATATGTAGTTACATAATTGCAAAAGCTAGTTTTTATATTTTTACTGTCTTCTGCATTTTCACCCCTCTCCTCTCTTTGCACACCTCCCCCCAACAACCTTTAGGAAGAGGTGGAACCTTTTCCTGAGGAAAGGGAGAATTTTCTGCAACAACTATACAAGTTCATGGAGGATAGAGGTAAGAATTTTAGCTTGGCTCTTTTATCAACTTTGAAATGTGTCCCATGAGCTGGAGCAATGCCAAAACTAACATATTCAGAATCTCAGCTATGTTTTGTTCATTCTTAATTTACAGTCAAACATTTTTTTTTTTACTCCGTTTCCTTCTGGGCTGAAACATTGGCTGCAATCTGTCCACCTGCAATTACCTTTCTGCAGGACACTGACCATTTAGGTGGTCAGCCTCTTTGCAAGATGATGGGATTCAGTGCCAGGAGCTGCCACACATTAGTAAAACCACATAATATGACCGGGCTTGGATCTGCTAGATCTTAGTGGGAATGGTAAGATGATAGTGGGAAGGTCCAGTTGAAAACAGCAAGATGAAGATGAAGAATCCATTTAGATTCCACTGATGCTCACAGTGGTGATGAATTTGCGCAACTGACTGATGAACAAATCATTTCTATAAATTTCTGACAGCTTGTCACTGGTAACAGTTTTCTCAGCCTCTAAGTTGTGGCTGGTATTGGATTGGTGCGGAATTTAAAAATTCATGGTCAGTTGCTGAATGTTATTTGATATATGAGAACCCCTTTATATTTTTGGACTATGGGAAAAATACTGTGTTGAATCAAAGAGACTGTGTAAAGAGATCTTGCAGTTTTAAAAATCATGTTCACTGGAGCATTGAGAGTTATATACATAATATTACCTTTCCCTTGAGCAGCAAGGGAGAAGTCAGACTGAACAGCACACAGTGGGTTTCTAAACTAAGAGACAACTGCCTGACAGCAACAGTTCGGTTCCTGAGCAGGTGACTATTGCCTGTGTGTGTGGACAATACAGCAGAAGTTTCCAGTCTGCAAAGAGAAAGCACCCTTCCTGACCCTCCTATGTGGAGAAAGAACAGAAAATCTCCTGCTGGCTGTCCTCACTCTCAATTTCCTGTGTTAATTGCTTTTTCTGCCAATTCCCTTGATGAAAGGGATAAGGGAAAATCACCTCTTGAGACTCTGAAAGGGGTAAATTCTTGACCTTATTTCATCAGCAAAGAACTAAAAGGAATTGGAAGAAACCAAAAGAAAACAAGTTGTCAACTCCTGTTGTTCGAATTGATGCTATTAAATTGTTTTGCCCGTATTTTTTTTCCTCTTTTCCACCCTTAATGTCCATAACTTGTCTATCATTGTGTGTTCATCTGGATGTGAGAGGGGGAATTTTAAAAGTGTATAGTTTAAATTATAGAGTCATAAATTGGCAGCTCATGTTTGATTTTAAGTAATGGCAGGAAGGAACCTGTTTGTGATAAATAGCTGTTTTCTTGTTAAGTACAGAAACCTTGGGAGCTTTCTGTTTTTACCTGAGTTTGTCAGCCAGGTAATTTGGGTACTTTGTGTAGTTTCACTAAGTTTGTAACTTTTGTGACAACACGGGAACAATAGGGCTTGATTGGATTGTACTGAGGGAGTGCCGTGCTGCTAGAGAGTTGGTGCTGAGAGAGCGCTGCACTGCTGGAGGGTCAGTACACGGGGCTTAGGTAACGCACTATCCTTAGTGAACCATGACAATTATCAGTATGACAATGTCAGTAGCCTCCTCTAAGTGGTTACTAATGTCTGAGTCTCACCCTGGGTTAAGGGCTGTGCTAGGAGCTGCTTGAAGGGTGGTGTAGGTTGGCAACGAACAACAGGAGGAGGAATTGGTGGGGGCATGGGTTGTTGAGGGGAAGAGGAGAAAGAAGGAAATAAATATCAATTGCTATTTTCCTCATTTAATTTAATTTCTTACAGTTAATATTTGAGGGACTTAACTAACAATTTAAAATTTCAGGTCTAGTCAAAACTGTTGTTATATTGTCTGTTATTCTTTTTAACTGTAGGAACTCCAATCAACAAACGTCCTGTGCTTGGATACAGGGATTTGAATTTATTCAAGCTGTACAGACTTGTACATGAACTGGGAGGATTTGATAGTGTGAGTATTTGGTTTAACAGTTTTATAGAGCAGTATCATTAACAGGAGAACAAGCGCAGTTTCATGGTGTGCAAAGTGTAGATTATCTTCACTATATTCCTTGCAGCAGTCTAGGGCAAATGACTGATTAAAAGTGTCGTTGCTTTGTTAATGCCAACACGGTATAAGTCTTTCCGTGCCTGCATTACCTGATTCTGATAAATAATGTTCATGTATTAGTTAAGGAGTTTGTAAATCTAACAATTTTAAAAGTGCCATGTCCTTCAGCCCCTAGCATTGCTGGTGTTCCAGTCACAATGGAAATTCCAGCCTCTACCGTTGGTTTTGAACAATGAGATACATGAGTCATGTTTGGTTTTAACTGCTGTCGACCATTTTCATTCTCTTTTTTAGTTTTTTTAGCACTTTGTATCTAAGCATTATAGATAGATAGTTTGTAAATACTAAGCTTCCAGTGGCTTTCTCATTTTGTACATGTATGTGTAAATGTAGTTATACTATATAACAGATGAAATATGGAAAATTAGGATAGTTCTCACCACCAATGGCTTATTTGCTGTGGAAATAATAACTTGGAGTTCCTTATCTCGCTGAAGTACATAGTGGAGAAATTGTGTGTAACTTGAGGCTAAATTGATGAAGTGAAAGCGTTACCATTCAACCGGAAAAATGAATGACTCTCAATCCATGCAAATGTTAAGAATAACTTAGTATGGAGGCATTGGATTATCACTGGGTTATAAATCAAAGTATTAATCATATCATTTTCCGACATCACCAGTCCTTAGTCAACTCTGGACTTCACTGCTCCAACAATCTTTTGATTAGCCTTCCATCCTCCACCTTTGTAAACTTTAACTCATCCAAAATGCTATTGCCTGTATTAATCTCACACCAAGTCTTATTCCCTGTCATCATTGTGCTTGCTGATCCACATTGGGTTCCATTCAAATAATGTCTGTATTTTATCATTCTCATTGTTGTTTCCAATGCCTCTACTTGTTTTTTCTTCCTTGCCTCTGATTTCTTTATAATAGAATAGAATCATAGAATCCCTACAGTGTGGAAACAGGCCCATTCGACCCATGGAGTCCACACTTACCCTCTAAAGAGCATCCCACCTGGACCCACCCATTACCCTAACCCCGTAACCCTGCAGTTAACCCATCAAACCTGCAGATCCCTGGACACAATGGGCAATTTAGCATGGCCAATCCAGCTAACCTGTACATCTTTGAACTGTGGGAGGAAACTGGAGCACCCAGAGGAAATCCATCTAGATACAGGGAGAATGTGCAAATGCCATACACAGCCACCCAAAGGATGAGTTGAACCTGGGTCCCTAGCACTGTGAGGCAGCAGTGCTAATCACTGAGCCACCATGCTGCCCTCAATATCTTCCAATACATTTTGCATTCATCTAATTCTTCGCTCTTGTGCTTGCCAATATTAATTGCTGCACTATTGGTGACTGTGCTTCAGTTGCCTGTGCCCTAAGCTCTGGAATATTCTCTGTACACCTCTCTACTTTGCATTTAAGACAGTCCTTTAAAAACTTATCACTTTGACCAAGTTTTTGGTTATCTCATAATAATTTCTTCTGTGTAACACTTCATTCACAACGTCCACCTTGGGATGTTTCATTCCTTTTTGCTCGGAATCATTGCCCTGGGTCACATTTTGCAAGAGTCCTCACTTCAGATCATAAGCTTGATTTGGAAAGTGATACTTTAGCTGGGGACATCTGGCTTGAATTGTAACAACACAGCCCTTGAACGAGGTTGAGTGATCTCTGGAACGGATAGCTGTGTTGTAGTGTTGTCATGGTCTACATCAAACTGGCACAACACTTCTATTCATTAATCGGCAGTTTTTCTATCAAGGTAAAACTGCAATTGTGAAACCACAAGGTTTCTGGCCTGCACTACCATAATAAGTCCTCACATTTCCACAGCCTGTCAGTGAATAACTGTAGTTGCCTAAGCTTGAACTAAATTTCCTAACTAATTAAACTGAGTGACTTTTAAATTTTATCCCCAAGCATCTCTGAAATCCAAAGCACACATGCTAACAATATAATTACATTATAAAGAACTATAGAAAACAGTTTACTTTCTCCATTTGTCTGCGGTGATTTTAATTAAAATAAGCGAATTCAATTTTCTATCAAGTTTATGTGGTGAGCAGTGTTGCACTTGGTGTGGGACCAGTTAGTTGTACAGAATCACAATGCTTGCATGTAAAGTCTATTCTGGTGCTTGCTAGACACTTCAACATGGGAAAACCCCAGTAAATTCAGATAGAAATTGACATCAAGATACATAAGGAGATTTTTGGAGGAGTTACCAAAGCTTGGTTGAAGTTCCTTAGGTTTAAGAAATGCCTGAAAGGAGCAAAGAGAGGCTGGTTTTGGGAAGGATTTCCAGAGCTTGGTACCCTGGCAGCTGAAGTCATGACTGCTAAGAGTAGAGTGAAGGAAGAAGCCAGATGACCAAGGCATGGATGATGCTTTTAGCATTTTGCAATTTGGTCTTGTTTTAAAAGAAAAACAGAGCAGTCAGGGCATTGGAGGGCTCATCCCAAGATGCAGTCTTGATTATTTCATAAAGATCTCTATATCCAAGTGTTTATTTTGGAAAATAAATCTCAACACTAACCTTTATTAAAGGATACATATTGCTTTAAGTGGCAAGAGACCCTGCCTTGTGTGGTGTGAGGTATGGCAGTGTTGGGTTGGATGGTGTTTATCATGGTAATTTTACCGGCAATCCACAGGCCCAGGCTCATGGTCTGTGAAAATGGGTTTACGTCACATTATGGCAGCTGGTGGAATTGAAATTCAAGGAATATATCAGGCGTTGAAAGTCTGTCTCCGTGATGTGGCCTTGACAGCTATCAGTGATTGGTTTTTAATGACAATCTGGTTCTTTTAGGGTAGAAAATCTTTCATCATTATTTTGTTTGACTGACCTGTGATTCCAAACCTCTACTGATGTGGTAGATTCTTTCCTGCTGTCTAAAAGGCCTACCAACCCACTTAGAGGAATGCTTGACCTTCCACCAATGCTGCATCCCATGGAAATGAGGGAAATAAACACCCTCATGTCAAGCATCATCTTAAAAAAAAAAATGAAATCCAGCTATTTCTTGTGATTTAGCATCCATTGGCCCCTTCAGTTACCTAGGGCCTAACCTCTGGAATTCCCTTCATAAACACTCTGCCTTTCCATCTCTCACCTCTTTTAAGAAACTCCTTAAAAATTAATCCTTTTGACCATTCTTGGTCCACTGTCTTACTATATCCAAGTGAAGTGCCTTGGGAGGTTTTTATGACATTTAAGGTGCTACATGATGCAAGTTTGTTTGGGATCAGAAACCCACGAGAGATTTGGGATGTTCCCTTGTGGCTGTTCAGTGTCTTCCAGCTCCAGCCTGGCTACTACCCCATTCTTGGAGTTCCAGTGTTGCTGCAATGGACAGTGTCAAACTATTGATTCAACACATGGAGAAAACAAGAATTGCCTGCAGTGCTCATCGTACTGCTCCCCTTCCAAGTAGCTTAATGCAACAGTTATACTTACAAAGAGGTAGCTTAATCATGAATATCACACCCAATTAGAAATGGGATGTTGTGAACATTATTACTTTGTATTATAGAATCACAGGATGAAACAGTACAGCTAAAGACTATTAGTCCCGTCGTGCCTCTGCCTACTATCCAATCAGTCTCGCTTGACTACATTTTCAACAACAGCTTCAACTCGGATTTATGTAACACCTTCAGCTTAATTAAATTTTCTAAGACGATTCATAAGAGCATTATGAAACAAAATGTGACACTGACCATATATGCAGATACCAGGTTAGATGACAGAGAACTTGGTTAAATGAAGTAAGTTTTAAGAATGAAGAGGCAGAGAAATGAAGCGTACGTATTCCAGAGCTTAGAGCCTCTGCCACCTGAAGGCACAGTCACCAATGGTAGAGTCATTAAAGTCAAGGATTCTAGAGGCCAGAATTAGAGGAGATATTTCAGACAGTTATTGGGCTGTAGGAGGTTACCAAGATCAGGAAGGGGTCAGATTCAACTTTTTATACAATTGCCTTTGAAATTTAGTGTAGAATCTGCTTCCACCCACATTTTAAGCAGTGAACTCCAAACCATCGTAACTCGCTGAATAAAAGATTCTCGTCTCCCCGCTGGCTGTTCTGCCAATTACCTTAAATCTGTGTCCACTGTGGTCACAGTTTTGCTACTGGAAATACTTTCTCCTATTTACTGTGTGAAAACAAAAGTAAAATCCGAATGTTTAAAATCTGAATTTATTTTTTAAGAAAAGGAATTGTGAAGTACTTTCTCTTCGTTGTAACATTGACTGACCAGCGAAGTGCTTTCGCTGAGACCTGCTGAACTTTTTTCTTTCAACATCTTCTGTTTTCATTTTTAGTATACTGTCAGTTGTATGAGTTGTTCTGAATTGTACTGCACATGGAGCTATAACTTGTGATGCTTTTCTCCTTGTTATAATGTGACGATGCTCATCTTCTGGTTTGTTGCTCATAGATTGAAAGTGGTGCTGTGTGGAAGCAGGTCTATCAGGATCTAGGAATCCCTGTGATGAACTCTGCGGCAGGTTACAACGTGAAGTGTGCATACAGGAAGTAAGTTCCTTATTTAGTTGGATTTTGCTGGAAATATTAAAATGCATTCAGACTTTATTTTGCCACAAAGTGTGGTGATTGCCCTATCCTACTGACTTGTACAGATTGACAAACTTATTATGCATTCTTAATATCAGCTGTGGCTCGGTTGATAGCACTGCTGCCTCTGAGTCAGGAGGCAGGGAACTTGAGTATGTAAATCCAGACTGATACTCCACTGTCATTGAAGGAGCATTACATTGTCAGAGTTAATGGCCTCAGATCTTTTCATTTGGAAAGAAACCTCCATTTAATTTACTAAATAAAAACCGAAAGAACTGCGGCTGCTGTAAATCAGGAACAAAAACAGGAGTTCTGAGTTCTGAGGTAGAGTCACCGGACCCAAAATTTTTTTTCTTCACAGATGCTGCCAGACCTACTGAGCTTTTCCAGCAATTTCTGTTTTTGTTCCATTTAATTTACTAATGCACTTCAGGTCCCCGAGGAAGTTCTGACATAAACACATCCATTGTACTTGTGCAGAAAGTTTTAACTTCCAATTGCTGATTTTACCCTGCCCGAATTGCACCATAATTGGCCAGAATCATGCAGACTTGGGCGACATAGGTAATTAAAAAGGATGAGGTCCTAAAGGCAGAATTTAGGGAACTAGGAAGAAAGTTAAGAAAGCAGACCTCCAAGGTAGCGATCTCAAGATTACTATCGGTGTCACGTGCTAGTCAGTGGAGAAATGGCAGGATATACTGGATGAATACGTGGCTGCAAAGATGGTGTCAGGGGGAAGAGTTTCAGATTCCTGGGGCATTGGGACCGGTTCTGGGGGAGGTGGGACCTGTACAAATTGGATGGCTTATACCTGGGCAGGATAGGAATTGATGTCCTAGGGGGGAAGTGTTTGCTAGAGCAGTTGGGGAGGGTTTAAACCAATATGCCAGAGGGATGGGAACCTATGTAAAGAGTTAGAGAAGAAGGCAGCAAGGACAAAAACAAAAGCTAATAGAGGGAATAAGAAAAGTGATAGGCTGAGAAACCAAGGACAAGATTCAAACAGGGCTGTTGAGAAAAATAAGGAGGAGGCAAACACTGTTAAAAGCACAAGCTTAAAGGCTTTGTGCCTTAATGCGCGGAGCATTTGCAACAAAGTGGATGAACTAATAGCGCAGATAGATGTAAACTGGTACAATATAATTGGGATTACGGAGACATGGCGGCAGGGTCAGCAGGGATGGAAACTGAATGTCCCAGGGTATTCAGTATTTAGGAAGGACAGGCAAAAAGGAAAAGGTGGCAGAGCAGCATTGCTGGTTAAAGAGGAAATTTAACACCACAGTGAAAAAGGATATTAGCTCTGACATTGTGGAGTCTGTATGGGTAGAGGTGAGAGATACCAAGGGGCAAAAAACATTAGGTGTCATATATAGAACCCTAAACTGCAGTGGTGATGTCGAGAATGACGTGAAACAGAAAATTAGGGATGTATGTGATAAGAGAATATCGGTGATCATGGGTGATTTTAATCTGCACATAGATTGGGCAAATCAAATTAGCCACAATGCCGTAGAGGAGAAATTCCTGGAGTGTATACGGGATGGTTTTCTTGACCAATATGTGGAGGAAGCAACTAGAGAGCAGGCCATCTTAGACTGGGTACTGTGTAATGAGAAGGGAATCATTGCCGATCTAGCTGTGAAAGACACCTTGGGGATGAGCGACCATAACACAGAATTTTTTATCAAGGTGGGAGAGTGAGGTTGTTGATTCAGAGACTAGGATGCTGATCCTTAATAAAGGAAACTGAGGATATGAGGTGTGAGTTGGCCTTGATAGATTCGAGAGAGTTACTTAAAGGGACGACAGTGGATAGGCAATGGCAAACATTCAAGGAACACGTGGAGGACCTGCAACAATTGTTTATTCCTGTCTGTCGCAAAGGCAAAATGGGTAGGAGGGCTAATCCACTGCTTACGAAGGAAATAAGAGATAGTATCTGATCCAAGGAAGAAGCATACAGATTGGCCAAGAAAAATAATAAATCTGAGGATCGGGAGCAGTTTTGAATTCGGCAAAAAAGGACCAAGGGATTGATTAAGAAGGGGAAAATAGAGTTCGAAAGTAAGCTTGCAGGGAACATAAAGACTTATGCTAAGAGTTTCTATAAGTACATGAAGAGAAAGAAATGCAGGTCCCCTACAGACAGAAATGGGGGATTGCATAATAGGGGACAAAGAAACGGCTGAGGAACTGAATATGTACATTAGTTCTGCCTTCACAAAACAGGACACAAATCAGATACCAGAATTGTTGGAGAATGCAAGAATCAGTGAGGGAAGAACTGAGGAAGATTAATATTTATAGAGAAATGGTGCTGGGAAAATTGTTGGGATTGAAGGCTGATAAATCCTCAGGACCTGATGATCTACATCCCAGGGCACTTAAGGAAGTAGCTCTAGAAACAGTGGATGCATTGGTGGTCATCTTCCAGGATTCTATAGACACTGGAACAGTCCCTGTAGATTGGAGGGTGGCAAATGTCACTCCAATATTCAAAAAGGGAGGTAGAGAGAAAACAGGGAATTATAGACCAGTGAGCCTAACATCGGTAGTAGGGAAAATTCTCGAATCCATTGTCAAGGATTTTATAGCAGAGCATTTAGAAAGCAGTGGCAGGTTCAGACAGAGTCAGCATGGATTTATGAAGGGGAAATCATGCTTGACAAATCTGTTGGAATTCTATGATGACATAATTAGTAGAGTTGACAGGGGGAGCCAGTTGATATAGTATACTAGGACTTTCAGAAAGCGTTTAACAAAGTCCCACATAAGAGATTAATGTGCAAGATTAAAGTGCATGGGATTGGGGGAAGTATTGAGATATGTAGGAAACTGATTGACAGAGTGGAAACAAAGAATAGGAATTAATGGGTCCTTTTCAATTTGGCAGACAGTAACTAGTGAGGTGCCACAGGGATCAGTGCTGGGACCCCAGCTATTCACAACATACATTAATGATTTGGATGAGGGAACAAAATGTAACATCTAAGTTTGCAGATGATACTAAGTTGGGTGGGAGGATGAACTGTGATGAGGATGCAGAGATCCTTCAGCATGATCTGGACAGGTTGAGTGAGGGGGCAGATCAATGGCAGATGCAGTATAATTTGAGTAAATGTGAGGTTATTCACTTTGGAAGCAAAAACAAGAGGGTAAATTACTGCTTGAATGGCTATAAATCGGGAGAAGGGAGTGTGCACCTGTCGCTGAAGGTAAGCGTGTAGGTGCAGCAGGCGGTAAAGAAGGCAAATGGTATGTTGGCCTTCATTGCGAGAGGTTTTGAGTACCGGAGCAGGGATGTGTTGTTGCAGTTATACAGGGCCTTGGTGAGGCCACACCTGGAATATTGTGCACAGTTTTGGTCTCCTTTTCTGAGGAAGCATGCTCTTGCTCTCGAGGGCGTGTAGCAAAGGTTTACCAGGCTGATTCTGGGGATGGCAGGTCTGACGCATGAGGATAGATTGAATGGTGAGGATTGTTTTCATTAGAGTTCAGACAAATGAGGGGGGATCTCATAGAGACTTATAGAATTCTGACAGGACTAGACAGGGTAGATGCAGGGAGGATGTTCCCGATGGTGAATGTGTCCAGAACCAGGGGTCACAGAAAGATGAATTGGGGTAGACAATTTAGGATGGAGATAAGGAGACATTTCTTCACCCAAAGAATGGTGAGCCTGTGGAATTCATTACCACAGGAAGTAGTTCATGCCAAAACATTGCACGTATTCAAGAGGCGACTAGATATACCACTTGGGGCGAATGGGATCAAAGGTTATGGGGAGAAAGCAGGATGAGGCTACTGAGTTGGACGATCAGCCATGATCGTGAAGCATGGCGGAGCAGGCTTGAAGGGCCAAATGACGACCTCCTGCTCCTATCTTCTATGTTTCTTACACTGATTAACTGAGTGCTTTTCACAGCTGGCCTAAAGCCTGCTGAGCAGCATAACTCTTAAATAAATCAGCTCTGGTGTCAAAGCATTCCAGCATTTGCAGTAACCTTCACCACCTCCCTGAGCAGTATTCACCTTCAACTCCCAGGGAGAGAAATATTCTTAAAGGGCAATGGGTAGAGGAAATTACCGTTGGGGACAGATTTAAGGGGGTGTGGAAGGGGTGGTGATCACTGCCTGGGTGTGAAATGTGGGTCAGTATTGGATGATGACATTGGGGAGAAGGTAAAGGAGATGATAACAATGGGGTGGTTATGGGAGGGTGTGACTGCCAGGGGTTGAGGCTTGGTGATCACTGTCAGCTAGGAAATTAATGGAATGTAATCATTGTCAGCCAGACAATGACTCAAGGGTTATTTCTTCGTTACATGTACATTATTACTGCCACCAAGTTCCCTCACTTGCATTCTCTGAATCATCACATCAAATACCATGGGACACCTGACAGTATTATGAAAGCATTATGGACTGCAAGTATTTTGTGTCCCTCGCGTTCCAAGTGTCCTGTGCACTTGTGCATTACAGTGTTTCACTTGTATCAGATTAACACAATTTTGAAATCCTTAATTTAGCATAGAAATGATTAATTGCCAGCTATGAAATTAAAATATCTGGATTAAACTGTAAGAAAAGCATTTAATAAACTATGAAAACAAATCAGTAAATCCTTTATGGGATATGTTTTACTACTATTGTGTTGCTTCGACCAGCTGACTTTTCACAGATAAAAATGACAACTTCCAACAAAACACAAAATGTGAATTATTTGAAAAGTACCTCAACGTGCTTCTATAATTTGAAGTATAACTGCTTACTCAGCAGCCTAATTTTGGCCAGGGGCTGGTTCTTAAATGTAATTCTGCAGATGACATCTTGCTACCTGCTTTGGCTATGAGCACATTATTCGCAAACAAATGAAGATCTGTTCTCCTCTCCTTGCAAAGTCTCCGGCCCACCCATGCTAGTGTTAGTGCTCCACTGAAACTTTCTCCAAA